CCCACAAAAGGGTGAGTCAAGAAATGGCAACATCCTTCTCTAAATTTCACCCCTGCATGGCCCACAAAAGGGTGAGTCAAGTTGGACTGGCCACTTCCTTCTCTAAATTTTACCCTGCCCACAAAAGGGTGAGTCAAGTTGAAATGGCAACATCCTTCTCTAAATTTTACCCCTGCATGGCCCACAAAAGGGTGAGTGAACTTGGCATAGCCACTTCCTTCTCGAAATTTCACCCTGCCCACAAAAGGACAAAAGGGTGAGTGAGTGAGTGAGAGTGAGTGAAAGTGAGTGAGAGTGAGTGAGAGTGAGTGAGTGAGAGTGAGTGAGTGAGAGTGAGTGAGTGAGAGTGAGAGTGAGAGTGAGAGTGAGTGAGTGAGTGAGTGAGTGAGAGTGAGAGCGAGAGTGAGTTTGAAGCAGCGCATCCCCGTGTACAGACGAGGTATATCATTCGCGTGTACAGATGAGTCACTTTTCGCGTGTACAGACGAGGCGCCGGCCTCCTACCTGGATCCCTTCTTTTCTTCCTTCCCTTCCCTTCCCTTCGACGAGGTGACCAGGGACCAAGGGGACCAGGGGACCAAGGGGACCAGAGGACCAAGGGGACCAGGGGACCAAGGGGACCAGGGGACCAAGGGGACCAGGACGACCATGTGGACCAGGAGCAAGCATACAAGAGACGGGAAAGGAAAATAATTATTTTTTGATTAGTTAATTAATTTGTTGTTGATTACGTAAATAACTTTTTTTTGATTCAGTAATTAATTTCTTTTTGATACACATGCCGCGAATCACGCCGTTGGTTCGCGCCCCGTTTGCGGGGCCGTTGTTCGGTTCGGTTCGATCCTCCACCGATTGGCTTGCGGCTTCTGCCACCTTGTCCTCTCGCCGGGGCGCAGCAGGCGGATCGGGATCGTTTCGGACAGGAAAGACCGAAAAGAGACCGAAAGGCTTACGACCGGTGCTTGGACCACCACCCGCTAGTCACAAGGTAAGGGGTATGCTTCTTGTCTGTGTGCGTTTGTGTGCCTTCGAAATCCGAACTCGGCTTCTCACCGGTCCTCCAAATACTCCTCATAGACACGCCACGGTCCTTGAGACCCAAGTTCAGGCTTAGGTTGGTCGTTCCATCCATCCTCAACCTACTACTACTACTACTACTACTACCACCACCACATCTTTTCTTTCACACAGCTGGATCACACGTTGATTTGACCAACTAAGCTCCACTCGCCGGATGGTCGGAGGGATGGATGGACTTTGCCTTGGGCAAAGGCAGAAGATACAAGAATCCAATTGGTTGAGACGTACCCACATTGGACCTCGCTTCTTCCGTATCAGCTCAAAGCTCCTGAGAACTGCACCAATCAGTCACAGAGGCTTGCTGGGACATGTGATGGTTGGGGTGCAGTGCACAGCAGCACCTCGGCATACAAAAAGTCCCCTGAACCTTGACGACGTGTGATGACTCGCACTATTGTACCATGAGAAAGTAATCGAGGCCAGCACTGCTCTGGAAAAGGCTTTAAGGCACAAGGGCAAGGCTCGGATGCCCTTGGCTTGGTCGCCGAACTAACGCACCTTTCCAAGTGCGCGAAGCTACAACGGCAGAGGAGTCATGGCGACCAACACGGAGAATGAAGTGCGAAACCCGGAACATCCAACAAATAAATATCTAATAAATATCTAATAAAGAATATCATGAGTCCTGGATGATCCACACTTGAATGATCTTGTTTGCGTGCAAGGTCACGTTGAACGCAGCTCCTCACGCCTTTTCCGCTTGCCGAACCTTAGAGGCCAAGACGTAGACGAGGATCCAAGCTTCCCATCCCGTGCTCGGCCCCAAAAAAATCCAAAAGCGGGAGAGATGTGGCTTGGCGTTTCAGCAGCTTAATCAGGGTGGCACAGGTCCTCTCTCATCGAGCTGCAAAGCACCGAAGAGGTCGTCCAAAGAAGAGTCAAACCGAAACTGAAAGAGGTCGCATCAAAGCGATTGTCTGAGGCACTGACCTTGGCCTCAAAAGGTGTCAATCCATCAAGACGCAGCAAGGGGAATTCTGGGCAAGCGGAGCGAGGGGTTGCTCAGCTTTAAACAGATATCTACAAACGCATGCGCCAGTGTCAGGAACCACAAGAAAGGCCAAGCCGGTTTCAAAAGAGCACTGACACTGGTGCAGCCCAAGAGTCGAACATGCACAAACCATTGAAGGTTGTCTGCCACCTCCAACCCGTTCTGTTTGCCAAGACAAGAGTTTACCAGAGACTCAAAAGATGTGGTGGCAAACAACCTTGAAACCAAAATGTCACCCTTGTTTCAAACAGGGCGCTAAAACAGCCTCAACAGCTGCGAAATCTTGCACCAAGGTGTTTCATCAGGAAATCAGTAGAGTCGGTTGTCTCAAGTGATTTGTTGAAGCAACCCCCAAAAAAGGATACACCCTGGTGCAACTCAAAATTCCTGCTGCTCAGCCAAGGAGAGGTGGAGCCTGCCAGCTCGGCCCCCGGCCCGGCCCCCCCGTGTTGAAGGTGACCCAAAAGCGAATGGTCTGGGTCCACACGACAAGAAGGCCACTGTTGTGGCAAGTTGATGCAACTTCTAGAAAGCCAACATGACGCCGTTGGGTAGCTCATGGCGCCGAGGTCTTGTGACAGACTCTATGTAGACTCTATCCGATACTCTTTCCGTGCTCAAAGTGATACGGAACCCTAAGCACAGAGGTCCAAGATAGTCCAAGAAACTAAGACCCTTGTGAAATTGTGAACTCAAAGAAATCGGGCGTAAAGGAACTCCATTCTGATGAACACGTTGTGTCCAAAAACAAAAGTTCCAACGCACCTCTCGACGAAATGAACTGCTCAGAAGATTCATGTACAAAATTGTGTATCTTGGTCCCAATCAATCGAGGAGGCAAATCAATCTACACTACTTACACTACTTCAGGAAAAAAAAGAGCCTCAGTTTGGACCCTTCAGCAAAGAGCCTCGCTCTTGTTTTCGTCATGCAAAACGTTTGAGCCGTTGTCCATGCAATACGTGTGGCCCTGCCAGGCTCACTTCCGCCGGACGACGCCTCGATGTCCAGTGGACGTGACACTTGGCGACGCCTTGTTGGGCTCGATCGAATTGAAACGAAGTGCAGTCACCGGGGGGTTCTTGAAGTGTGAAGAGGGTTCAATGGGGGGGGGGTCTCCCTAGGTTCATTCACACTCATGAAAAATGACAACGGTGGGGGTTCTTCTTTTCACACCGCAGCCAGCACGCGCAGCCAGCACGTGCAGATCTTGGTGTCCCTTTTCAACTCCACCCCAGACCGGTTCAACTCCACCCCAGACGATCTACCGACGCAATGAAGAGTCCCTGGTGAGGCATTCCTGGATAAATGGGTTCCCCTGCCGCAACAAAGCAAAGACCAGCGCGAATGAGCCGGCTGCAGCAAAGAGCATGGAGCTGGCGGCTGCTCGGAGGGCGAGGATGGGACGAGCCACGCATGTTCACCCCGACCTGCGTCCTCCCTTGGGGCATGTAACCATGTAAGGATGTAGAATACTGACATGCCACCCGACCCTTTGCGGCGTACATGGCAATTATCACACTGGGGGGAGATAAGAAGGTCTACATTAGTTCATGTCATATTGTTATTGAACTATTTATCTTTTTGTTTGTTTACTTTTCAGAGCAATGTTTGGAGGCAACCACAATCTGTGGGCTGGTAAGCTCCGCGGGTTTTGGGATACACAAGATAATGAGGGCAGACTTTCACAGGAGTCGCATTCCAGAAAGCATATAGGCATCTGACCAAGCTGCATTGAACTGTTTGTTATAGTACCCTCCAAATGGTGCACAACCGTGTTCAACCCTCAAAAGCCTTTCTTGACACACAAATGGGTTTACCAACTGACCAGCTGTCATCCCGCCTCTTCACCATCAAAGCATTTGGAGCTTCAAAGAGCATCTGCACGGAAGAATTGTGCAAAGCTCGTCAAAGTCTTCTGCAATGCTAGTCAAAATCAAAAGGACAGGGCTTGTTGGAGAAATCCAAGTCACCAATGTGATCTGGACACTTCTGTGTGATATCAATCTTCTGGTGCGCCTTGGGAGACTGATACGATTCCTGAGCCGGGGCGGGAGTGTCTGGACCGCCTAATTTGCCCTTTGATTACTGTACAAATTGAACTTCCCAAAACAGTCATGTATTTGCAGTTTGTCATCTAATGAGCTAGTTTTCATGATGGTGTTTATTTACATTCCAGCTTGGTCAATCTCTCTTCAAGTACTGGAACATTCAAATAAAGTTGTGTTTGCACCTTGGCTGAGATTATGCTAAATCCTTGGGATTTCTGCGGTTGCTCCATCTGGCTTTTGCTTGACATAGCTGACATAGATATATAAATGAAACTAGCTTCGCGCCGTTCAACCCAAATCGTTTGCTTGTCATCTTATGTTTTTTAATTGCTCCATCACTCATCATTGCGAACCTTTTTGACGTCTTTGTTGTTCATCTTGGTTTGGTGTAATTTGCTTGTTAAAACAGAAGCTGATTGAACCTCACTCCCCCAAGACACCAGCCGCCCCTCAGCACCAGGCCCAGCGCTTCTCCTCTTCTTTGAACTTGGCGGAAGATTCAGCCTGGAGCAAAGTGGGAGGTGGACCCCCCGCAGCTTTGACAGCCAGGCCACAGAAAGCTCTGTGTCTTCCAGGCGGTTTCTCATGATGCAGAGAGAGATCAAAAGAGATGAAACAAAAAGAAAAACGCAAAAAGAGAAGCCCCCCGTTGGACAAGGGGGTTGTACAAGGGGTTGGTTCTACTCTTCCTAAGGAGCGATCGGACGCTACGAACATAGCTAGAATCCGTTGGGACCTTCTTCGGCGCACACCCGGCCTCCTGGTAGGCCGCCTGGGCACCTAGCCGCTCAGCGACCTGGAGGAGTCGACGTCGGCGTGGATGTGGCACCGGACCCCAAGGCCCCAGGGTGTAAGAAATCCATAGAAATCCGATTCTGACTCATCCTCAGCATCCCCATATGTTGCAATTTGGACAGGTGAAACAATCCATCGTGGGACTCTTGTCAGAAAAACGGTGGTCATTTTGGCTGTCTCGAAGGGCTCTTTGATGAAGGCCAAGCTGGGCTGACTTCATCGAAGAGCTGAAACTCGAAGAAGGCAAAAGGACCACTCATGCAAGCCAATTTTGGATGGTCATGTTCATCAAACAGCGGCAATGCCAAAGGCACAATTCCCCATGTGCGTCACTGAGTGTAGCTTTGCTTCGCCAAGGGCATGCCGATGTCACGACCACAAGCAGTTCCAAGTTTGGAGGACGCCGAGGCTGGCGAATGCGTCGATGGAGCATAGGACCATGTTCGGCTTCAAGACCACACACACAAATACTGACAGGAAATATCTGGAGCAATTCCCGTGTCTAAGACCTTTGCGAATTGGCCAAGCTTTTGCATCTTCCAACACACTGTCAGACATTCTGGTTTTATCCTCTGGGATTTCAATGACGAGACAGCACAGGTCCACGTCGATGTTCCATTGAAAGCTGGTCAAGTGCACGTGCGTCAGACCACGGATTTCTGCCTTGCAAACGACATTCACTGTCCAATTTGCGAATGCCCCCCCGCATCCTTCACGAAATCTCAGTCAAGGCCCCACATCTCACCTTCTTGGTTGATCCCATTCTTGTTGGTCCATAAGAGGGTTTGTGGCTATCTCATTACCCAGCCGACCCACCCCAGGAGTTGACAGTAAGCAGCAATTCGTTCCCCCTTCTTCACTCTCCCATGCCGGTGACCGGTGCCACCCCAGTGCGTGCCCTGCCTCATGCAGTTCACTGACCACATCCTTGGCCTGCCTCAAGAGCTCCCTGCCGTTGCAAACACAACAAGCAGCGTTGCTCCTGGATGTTCGATGTCAAATTATTCAAGGAAACGCAAGTCCATAGGGGCCTATGAAGCCCCAAAAGCCCAAGCAGACCAAGCCCCGAAACTTCCTGGCCTGCTGCGGGCATCGAAGGACGACCTGTGCACCTCATCTTCGATCCGGGAAAAGTAGTCGTTCACCTGAAAGTCATTCAAGCATGGAATTTTCCACAGGCCATCAGCATCTCCACAACTTCCATTGACAACATAGGCTGAAGCCAACCCAAAAACATCAAGAATCCAACAGCACACCTGGTCCTTGAGCCTGTCAGCCTTGTTCTCAGCACCTGGCATCTCAGCCGTTCCACTTCACACACTTCTCTCTGAGGTCACAGCAACTCACGATATGGGTCTGTGACTGGGGAGACCACCAAAGAGTGGGATCCAGTGGGTTTAGTCACTGGATGTCACTGGTCTTTTTTACTTGAGGTCCCATCAGATCCCCTGTAGAGGGTCTCCACCTCCGACTACAAACTCCACCATCGCTGCGCTCATCCCGCCCTCGTTCCGCGTCTTCCAATACTCAGCCAGGAGGGGCGGTTGGCAACATCGCCCGCGGCATCACTCATCACGTCCTCGTGGCGCTCGTAGACGTTCTCCGACATGTGAGCTGCCCTTAGGGTGGGAAGTCAGTGACGGGCAGTGGTGCAGGTGGGGCTTTGTCCATCAGGTTGACAGTACACCACGCTGCAAAGGATTTCACAATGTTCCTTTGTTATCCTTTGTTTTCATATTTACAAGCATGCAGGATTCTGCTAAGGACAAAGGTCAGAATCGTCTGGTGATATGGACCATTGTCTTACAGTACTTCACAGTGATTCAACCCAGGCAGAAGCGGGGTGGGTACCCACCATACCATACCGTCTATACTATATATACCGTCTATACTATATATATATATACCTGTTTGATCTTTCTCTAACCATTCCCATCCTGCCAAGTCGCTTCTGGGCCTTCACGGCCATCTTTCCCACTGCCTGCGTGGACGGACGCGAGGCGTCAGCCATGACTCGGTTCATGAGGGTTCCAGCTTCGGCCGCGGTGTTCCGCCGGCTCGGGAGGACCATTTTTGGTTGTACATGAAACACTTCCAAGTCACGCAGGAGATCGCGAAACCCGTGACGCTTCTTCTCGTGTCTGTAAATGCGGGACGTCCACGCCAGGATATGATGTTGCAGGTTTGGCTCTCTGTAGACGATGGTTTGGCTCTCTGCTTGGAAAGACGTAGGCAGTCTTGGTCTAACAGTCTAACAAAGGAGCGCCGAGTACCTGCAAGTTCCACAGATGGCTTTGCCGCTGTTGACCGTACAATAGTTGTCTGCAAACATGTTAGACCATATGTACGAGTAGTGAGTAGTTAATAAGGCATGAAACAGTCCTCATCCGCAATTCCTGACCCCCAAAAAATGACACACACCTTGTGTCATTGACCATGGGTTCAATGCGTCTTTTTCCCCTGCCGACTCTCCTCCCTCCGCACCGGATCCTCCTCCCGGCACCGGAAAGCGGCGTCCCGCGGCACCGCGGCACTCGCCTTCCAACGGTGGGCGGCGTCCCGCGTGTCCGCCTCCAGGGACTTCACCTGAACGGTCGATGGGGATTGGAACGGACGTTCTTCTTGCGGTGTCCTTTTTGCGGACGTTTTGTTTTTTGGGGGTTCCGGTGCTTGGTCCACCCCCCCCAACACTTTGGATGTGTTTGGGTGTGTGTCTTATTGGTCGCAGCCGAGGCTTGAAACGGATGCCCGGTGTCTTGTGCGGATTTTGTGAGGTCTCGGTCTTAGTCTTGGGGGATGGGTCTTTTGATGGATACCCCAACATCCAATGCAAATGTCGATGGCAGGTCCGTCTAGGACCACAAGTTCGTCCATCATCATTGAACTTTGGCGCGCTGGTATGTCGAGAACTCCTTTCTCAGAACCTTTCACGTGCCAGGAATCTGGGTTACCTGATCTCAAGCTCAAGGAGCCTTCCAAAATCCAACTAAGAATAACCATCTGCACCTCTTCCGCGCGGAAATCTCGGATGCTGACATGCTGAATGGCTGCATAGCGGGTAGACTTCAGAGATGACCTCAACTGCAAATGTTTGCTTCCAGCCCGGACACCGGGGACTTTCCAACTGCCATGTGTCGTGATTTCTTCAGAAAGCACCCATGTGTTGGACCGACACCCCCCGTCTGATGTTCCAAGGCTCCGACTTCATGCTTTCTTCTTTCCTGGCGCCCGAGTCTCGCTGGGCCAAAGGTTTCAGGTGTTCACACCAAGGGAGTTCAAGTTTTGGCCTCGGGTTCAACCCCAGGAATCCCATCATGCCATACCGCCGAACCGCCAGGCCAGATCTTCGATCTTCCACTGTCTTCCGACCAGTTATGAAGAAAAGACACCGAACCTTCGAAAAAACACGGATTCTTCGATCAGAAACGCTGGGACCTTCCGTCCCTCCATGTCCCCCTCCTGCGGTTGTTCAGCTCCACATGGGCCGCAGCGGTCTGCACGGCATAGACCAACTCCACCGCCTCGGATGCCACCCGTCGCCCGCGAGATCCGGTCCACAGCGAGGTGCTTGGCGGCACTTGACATCGATCGATGTCATTCTCCTGGTTTTCAGGGCCCCCGGCCCTGGACGCATTGAAGTCCAGCACATCCCTCAGGGCAAACAACAAAGGCCACTGGCGACGCGCGACCAGTGGAAAACAAACGGAAACGCAACATGGCAGCCCGATAGACATCTTCGTATCACATCGTATCAAATATTGCAGCATCGACAACACACATCACATCATTGCATCATCAACACGTAATATGTTGCATCAAATCATCACATCAAATTATCACCGAATCGTATGTTGAACTTACATAGCACTCATCATACACACAGTCACTCCGCTTTCCAGCAAATCTCCTCTACAATTACAAGTGGTGTTTGGCTTACTGTTTCCCACTCCTTCCCTCTGCAAATCTAACTGCTGGATTCTTGACATGTAGGCTATCATGTAGGTAGGGTCTTCTTGGGCGATGACCCTTCGCCTTGCATCTGCCTTCACTCGATTGAAAGTATGTCTGTCTGGTCTGGATCATGGTATTCATGCAGCCTCCAATTATATAAAGCCTCTTCATCCTTTCAACTCCACTGCCACGACCGCAGTTTAATTGCTGCAAGATGCTTGCGATGCTCCTTGTTGAACTTGTCGAGCATCTGGCGATGCTGAAGGGCCCAATCACAATTTCCGAGAATGGGAACAACCCGCGATGATGCCACTTGTTGTTCCTCATCCCCAAGAGATCGCACCCGAAGCAACCCGAAGATCTGCAGGGAAGAAAGACTGGTCCTTGTGAGAAACTGCGGTACGACCAGACATGAGGGAAGAAAAGCAAAAAGGTCATCTCCGATCCATGGCATGTGGTGGCCAATGTTCTTTCAGAACGGGTCCCCTGAAGATCCAAGGTGCTGAAGACCCCTGAGTACCTTAGTGATCCTTAGTGTCTCCTGGAAAAGACTCACTCACCACTCCAATCAGCCCACCCTCCGCTGGGTCGCCTGGATTCGCTTTTCCAGCGCGTTCTCCCAAACTGGGGCGGTCTTCAGGCGCCCGTAGGAGGAACGGTCGTCACTTCCCCAAGTGGTGCTGGTCCAAACGGTCAAAACCAAGTCCGGCCCCCGGCTCTCATGAGAAGAAAGCGTGAAGCGCTGTTCTGGGTGCTTGCTCTTGAGATGGTTTGCCATTCGATTGTACAAACACCTATCGAAAAAAGCCCACCAGGTGCCGGAAAAGACTGGCGCTGGCGACGACTCGAACCGTCCGGCTGAACCAGTAGAAAAACAAACCACGGGACGACGTAGATGATTTTGGCCGGTGCAAGTGTCACAAACGTGTCACCGTCAAACAAGCGAGAAACTGTTCTGGGAAAGAGAAACACGTGTCTTGCCATTTCTGCCCGTGGGTGTAAGCAGCAGAACCCATACTTGGAACATCCGATCCAGTCCGCCAAAGTCCGCGTTCGATCCAAACGAAGTCACCAGACTCCGAAAGGGCTCTCCAGTCCATGCGCCCAGTCCGACCGGCACCAGAGCGACCGGGCACCCACCAAATCCAGCAGTTCGCCCAGAAACCATGGGCATCCTTCTGCGTGGAGGAGGCCGAAAGCTCGTCCACCGTGCCCCAGTCAGAGACCTCCACGGGGTGGACCAGTCGGACCGAATGGGTGAGGCGTTACGTGCTCCAGCTGCCAGTATGTTGATGGGGGTGCGACTCCTCAGTCCTGGTGCTATCAACCCTTAAACTACTAACTTGCTTCTTGCTCTCGCACTCTAACATCCAGTGGTTTTTCATATCAAAAGGTTGGTGCATGCCAGTGCCTCACCCACAGGGCGACCCACCCGAACACCCATGGGCCTTGCGGATGATGTCCTTCCAGGAGGCGTCCTTCATCTTCTCCAGGGACGCCTGAGCACCTCGGCACCGGTTCCGTGGAACCTCTGCGACTGTGCGCGGAGTCGGAGTGACGGTCGGCGGTCGACGGTCGGCGACCACACTGGGCTGGTCGTGCGTGCTCGTGCTTGCGATTCCGCTTGCTCGGCGGCAGAGACAGCGCGCAGGCTTTGCTCCTGGCGCGAGGGGTTTTCAGCTCATGGGTACAAAGTACGCAGCTTAGTGAGTCAATATATCATGAAGAATGTCAATACGGGTGGTCTGGTTCTGGTTTATGGGCCATACCCAGATTATGGAGTTTGGACTCCCAAACTTGAGCAATTCTTTCGCTTAGCAAGGCTCCGCCTCCTTCGCCTCATCAGTGCTCAAGTCGGACCTTAGAACCAACTTTATGCTGAAGCAATTTTGAGGGAAAAGGTTTGCATCAAAGAAATCACCATTACCCCATTTCCCAGCACTCGTCTTGACTTCTGCTTTGTTGGGTGCCCAGCTGCGCGAGAAACACCGCTGGCGCCGCACCCTGCACAGGAAGATTCGGCTGAGAAAGACCTCTGTCGGGATCAACTTTTCTAGGGCGCAGGAGCTGCTGGGACTCAAGCAACTCGAGCAAAAGCAACCCATGGCCGATGGAGGCATCGGGAATGTTCCTACAGTACTTGTTAACCGGAACCAACCAAGCGAGCAAGGGAGCAACGGAGCAACGGAGCAAGGGAGCAAAACAAGCAAGGGAGCAAGCGAGCGAGCGAGCAAGCAAGCAAGCAGACGGTTCTTCACTCGCCAGTCGGGGCTAGGCTGATCCAGTTAATGCAGCTTGGTGGGCAGAAGAACAATCACCGCCAAAAGTTCACATAAAAACTACCTATATAAATAAAAAAAGCCCTGGGAAGAGTGGCTTCTCTTGCGAATGAAAGAGTTCGTTTTAATCTTCCGGGGGTGTAGGTGACGCGGGCCTTCTTCTCGCCTTTCTTCTCCTCCTCCTTTTCTTCCCTCTTCTGCACCCGCTTCTCGGACTCCTCCTCACCTTGTCGTGGTGCAAGGTCTGAGTTCCTGATTGGCCTCCGTCATGGCCCCGCTAGTAAGTAGAGGCATGCACACGTTAAAAAGGCATTGATATCCAATAGAATTCGCTCCGGTCAGTCAGTTAAGGAGTCCTTTCAAACAGTCCCTGACAATAATCATGTTTGTCACAAATCTGTCTGCCTATTGAATCGCTGTGAGGCCACTTTCTCAAGTGTTTTGTGAAACCATAGTACGTTCAACCAGTTGAGTGCAGTGACCCATCTCCGGCCAAAGCAAAACGGCACCAAGTCCATGAATCATTGAATTCAGGGAAAACCGTGGTCCCTGGTCGTGTGCGCCCAGCTTCGGAACGTCCAACAAGTCAAAGGAGTCCAACGAGTCAAGCTGAGAGCCCACTTTTCTTGACATAGTCCTTGGCGAAGCCGTTCACAAAGGACGGGACGAACTTGTTCCAATCCTCTTTGGCAAATGCTTCAGGAAGATTCAACTTCATCGGGACTGTGCACAAAGTTGGGCCCTGCTCAAGTGGAGCTGGGCAGGTCGACTGCTGCCCGTGCTCATTGAAAGTCGATGTCCCACAGTACGTGTATATGCCGTGTATATATATATATACATATATATATATATACAATGTGTACCTCAAACGGGAGACCCCAAGGTCCTTCATTTCCTTTTGCTCTGGCTGCTCTGGCTGTTCAGGCTGCTCAGGCTGCTCTGGTTGGGGCTTCTGCTGCGGCCTGATCAGGCTCTCAAGAATGGACTCACTAAATGGGCGTGGACTCGGCACCCCCTGTTTACAAAGGAAAGTTGTCTTCCAAGGACCATTTTCCACTTCCATGTTACGTTTGCTGCACGAACTTTTACCCCACCATACCACGCGCAAAGCAAACAGGTTTCTGCGGCGCCCTGTTCAACGGACACGCTGGATTGGTGGTCAACCGCATTCAACCGCAGTCAAGCTTCTGCTCTCCAGACAGGGTCCTCGGCAACATGTCCAAGATCAGTGCCACAGGTCTAGGCTGTGACAACTGACTCACTCCCGATGTCTATGAGTCAAGGGGACGAAGTGTGCAGCTTCCATACTTACAACTGAGGTAGGTACTGGGCGGCCAAAAGCAAGGAGGGGCTCTTCTTCTGGGTGTCCTGAAAACACACAAAATGAGCAAATCATCCATTCATGGCTGCTCCCAAGTAGACCCATGAACGGCCCGAGACCCTTTCAAGTTACGCCCACCGCTTTGTTTCAGTGACTCCAGCGATCTCCAGCTCTCCTACCATTCAATTGGATCCTTCTGGCTGGCTCCAACTTCCATCCCAAAAACAACCCAACGCTTCCCATTGGGATCAACTCCCCAGCGGCTCGCTTCGGGGCCTTGGACGCCCCCCCTCGGCCCCGGCGCCTTCTCGGAGCCCTTCTTTCCACCTCAGCGGATCAGCGACGAGCAGCGGGGAGGGAGGAGCAGCATCCGTACTTGTAGCGTCCTTGTTCCTAGTAGTACGGCCAGGAGCCCCTAGTAGCGTCCTTGCTCCTAGGGAATCAAGGAGTCAGATTTGGACTTCATAGGTGCCATCAAAAGGACATCAAGTCAGATACGTCGGTGCCAAGTCTGATTTGGTGCCGACCTTGTGGCGTACACTCGAGGAATGATCCCCCTCAACCAATCAACCAACCCGTAAAAGTCGATTGGGTCCTTCAAAGTGGACACCCAGTCGACCGATGTCGGCCGTTGTTCACCTCATATGTCCGCCGATGCGCTACCCCCGCGCCGGCGGCGGTGTTCGCTCCTTTTCTAGCGCTGGGAGCCCTCTGCAGCATATCTCTTCCGCAGCAATTCAGCAGGTGCTGAGCCCAGAGAAATACCACGACCTCCATATTCCTTTGGAATGCTCTCCTGAGCGCTCCAATGGCCCCAAACAAAACCACTCGCTCTACCACCACGTCTAAAAGAAGAAACTCTCAGAAAGGTGATGTTACAAGTTCCGTCCAAGTTGCTAGATCCAGAATCTCACGAAGGGTCCGGTAAGATTCCTCCTTTCCTGTACTGACTCGAAGCTTGCGCTGCTGTTTGGCCGGCAGAATGGGCTTGAAGAAAGCAAAAATGGCACCCCACCACTCAGGCGCATTGATGACCACCACCATGTGCTCCCGATCGGGAAAGTGCTTCTGGATTACAGAATAGCTTAGGGTAAAGATTCGAAGCATCGTGGGAGTTACAGATGAAAGACTAAAGCCTTCCATATCAACGATGATCGTACATTCTTGCCGGTCATCGCGCTTCAACCACACGTCGTAGGCGAAAAGCGTCTGCCAAATGTAATCATCACGGACCAGTGGAGCGGTCATTCCATCATTGATCAGTCCTGATGGATTCAGCCGTCCCGCTTGCTGCCAGTAGGTAAGCCTTCCCCATTTGTCTGGCAAATGGAGGTAAGTGGGATAATGCCGCTGGATCCGAAAGAAGTTGGGATTTGGCCTTCTGAAGATCTCCTCATCTCCAAGTTCACACCTCCACCTCAATGTCTCCATCCAACGCCTTAAGGCCAGTCGTTCGTTTCCTTCTGCGGCCTTCAGGACATACCTGGGCACCTGGCAAACCCATCTGCGACTCGTGCTCAAACCAACAAGCCAAGCAAAAAGATTGGATTGCAGGGTGAATCTAGAGTAGATGAATCGTGCACTGTTTAAATGTTCCTCTGACAGACCCTCCAGCCTCCCGATCTAAAGCCTCCAATGCTCTCCGGTCGGGCTCAGCACCCAGTGCTGCCGCTTGGCACGATGCGCTCTTTTCCGCTCCCTGCACTCCGCCCGGCGTGCGGAGCGAGCGGAGCTCGGCGAAGGCCGTCCAGCGGAGCCCCAGCGCCAGGAGCCCCAAGCCCAGCGACTGCCGCCACAGGGACGGAGGCCGAGTCGATGCCGTTCTCGAAGAGCTGGGGACGGAGGGAGCGAGAGCCGCGTGGGATGGCAAAGACATGGTTGGGAGATGATCACAGTCACAGATCCAAATATGATGGGTAGTTGGGAGAAGGATGGTGAACTTTATCTTCAGCTGTGGATGTTGCGTGCAGGCCTTTTTCCAGTAGAACTCAGTAGGACAACTAGTGCCAACGGCGATCATGGTATCCAAAATATTGGAAATCCTCTGCAACAGGGGAAATCTCACATTTTCCTGGAAGACAAGACCTATCCCCATCGAGGGGGTTACATAGGCATTGCCATTCTCAATGATCGATTGAGCCGAAACGCCTTTGACCTATACACACCTAGGTCTATATCTGCACAAACACCTGACTGCACACCTGGCTCTGCTGCACGTCATCTGGACCGGAGCTCAAGCGAACCCTTGACCCAAAAACTGTCTCAGTGGATGGCTGTGGGTAAAATGCTGAGCCATGCCCGGGACATACTTCTGCCAGTCCTGGACCAAGCAGCAGAAGTGTTGTCAACCAGTCTTTAGGAGTCGAAAGCGTTGGAACAGCACAAATCTGCTTACGATCGGTCAACTCGGTGAACTCTATCTGCACTTTAGGACCTTGTCCCTTCATTTGTTGGAAGCTAGCAGCTACGATCAACAGATCAACCAATGAAACAGCCTGCCTGCCTTTGTTGGAATTCTGCTCTGCACAAACACCACGCTAGCACATGCTAACTTGACATTTTGCGGACTGTTTCCTAACAGCAGTGATATACCTTCAATTATATAAGCAAGAATTCCAGACCTACTCTCGCAGCACTGACTCTCGTTCTCCTTCTCTTCTGGCTGCTCAGGCTGCTCAGGCTGTTCTGGCTGCTCAGGCTGTTCTGGCTGCTCTCGCTGCTCTCGCTGCTCCGGCTGCTGTGGCTTCTGCTGAGGCTGCTCTCCAACAAAGAACCTCGGTGAAAAGGCCGCTTCAGTCGTTTCAGAGTGACCCGGCTTCGCACGTGCTTGTCCAACCCATCATTCCTTGTGTGCTCGTGATTGTCCAACAAGTGATTTGATCCATGCTCCAGGCATGGCCGGCTGGGCACCGCTTCCTCAGAAGGCAATCAATGTCCAAAGCGCACATTCAAACGCACAAGAGTTGTAAAGGCTCTCATCCGCGAACAGCTTGTGAGCTGTTGCTGTGGTATCTTTAAATTTCAATATCCCACTCATTCTAAAGACAATTCGGTAAATTCCTTCAGCCGCGCTTTATGCCCACGACATCGACAAGCATGGATGCTGGTTCCAAGCCCAAGGACCACACGAGGCCCAGCATTCCCCGCCCTGCGTGGCCAAGGCTCTTGACTCCCGGGGCTGCCGCGGCTCACGCGACTTGCGGGCCATGCCCTGAGCAAAGGTGGGCACATACTGCTCCCAGTCCTGGCGATGACCGTTCAATCAATATGAAATGGTTTGACACCACCCCTGTTGGCCAAACAAACGGGATGGGGCTCAATCTCACCCGGCCTTGGCAGGCAACTCCTTCTGCTCTGGCCTCACACAATGTTCAGATGGGAGGCTTCAAAAATCGGATTCATGCAGAAATCCAGCGCCGGCTGAGAGCCCCGGCTGCTCAGGTTGTTCTGGTTGCTGGAGTTGTTGCACTTGCTGTGGTTGCTCCCTCAGCAACGACAATTTGGACACCACAACACGTTGTCTCCCTATTTGCTTGCAAAATCGTTCCATTAAAAGCTGCCACCCGCGTTTCGTGTATGGACGTCTAAACCATGTACTGTAAATCGTAAACCTCATCAGCGATCCACTGCCAACTTTCTCAAGCAATCAAGACACAGTTCACCAAATGGCCCACTCTTAGTTCACTTCCCTGATGTGTTCAAATCATTTAAAGGTCAAAGGATCATCTAGTTTTGGACGACGCTCATATCAAGGACAGTCCAAAGTCGAGTAATTTTCTAAGTCTCTAATTTGTGTCGTTCAATCATTCTAACGTCTTCTCCTGAGTAGGTTTCTTTTTTTGGACGACGGAGGGGTCTGCCAAAGGATCCGATGCCTCAGTGGGAACATGGTATGCAACGACATTGAACGCAGCGCTCAGATTGGGTGGTTGAAATCGCATCCTCAACAAGAGGGGGTGACAAATTCACAACGGTATGTCCTCCCGGTACGACCGTTGTCCAATAAGGCAGCTTATGCTTAAATGCATGCAGAATCAATTGGAACACTGGGGCTAGATTGCACTGCCTTTTGTCAAGCATCGTATCCTCCAAGTCCACGGCCATTGAATGGAGGAGACCTTGGCATCTCCAGTCAGGAGCGGTGGATGCGCTGCGAAGAAAATTGCAAGAGTTTTTGAGTTCCCAGCTGTCATCGGCCAAGGCCGCCCCCAAAAGCAAGCAAATGCGAACCAGCATCACCTGAACGTTCCATGCAGTCAACCGCATGGAAAAGCACCAACGGAATGGGTTGTAAAAAACATATATACAGCATTGAGAGTGAGGCCATGGTGTCAGCACTCGAGGATCTAATACCACTGTAAAACGGCTGGGAACAAGCACGCGGTTGCATGCAAGGTTTTCACTCTGAAGTGTTTCACAACATGTTCAACAAGCTCTAACAAGCTTTCAATGTGTGAACAAACGAACAAACAGAACGGTTTGGCCGTTCACACCTTTCCGCAGTTTCGCTGAAAATTGAGTGTGCTGTTGACAAAAGCAGTTGTTGATCGCACCCTGAAGAAAGGGGGGTTCCAAGTCACTAACCAGTTCTGACACCTGACCTCAAACTGCTCGACGCCCCAGATCAAAATTCAACTGTTAAGGTGGATTTTGCTGTCACACTGTCGCTTGGTCTTTCAACAACTGTCAAAAGTCAAGAGTGCGCTCTTTTCCTCAAGGCTAATGGGGGCGCTTTTCGAGTTTCAAGATGAGGAAGCGCCCACCGTCCATGCTCACTCAGGCCTGGCACTGCCCAATTGTTGTTGCTAGGCGTTCATTCACTCTGTCAGCTACAAGGGGCAATCCAATCACTATCCTTAGGTGGGATGCGGTGGAGCCACTTAGGGATGGTGAGTTTGACACAGCCTTTTGGGGACTTGTCTCGAGGAGGGGTCAACGGGACCCCTTGGCCAACGGTCAAAATTCATCGTGGGTGGCCAAGCTCACGGTGGACAGGACCGTCGGTTCCTCCCTAACTGGGTTAGGGTCCTGTCGCGAGACAGGTACATCCCACTGGGATGCAAGGGATCGCTGACGACTGGGTCACCGGTCGGTCCACTCTCTCCTTTGTGAGTAGGCTCAATGTACAGTCTGGCCACAGTGAGGGTCATCTGCGGGTGATCCGAGCTGTGCTCTGTGGGGACCGGGGTCACTGAAAAGGTGAAATGAATGGTTTCGGTCTCCACGTCATTCCTGTGGTTGGTTTAATCCTCTTGTCTTGGTTGGGTCTGCGTTCACTTGGTATGGAAAGGGGAGCGCCCCCGGCTGCGCCAGGATGGCCCTCGGGATGCACATTCCCCGAGGTTGAGCTTCCTGGAGGCCGCTCTCAAGCGACACACCATTGGGGAAGCGGCCTGGGACGAGGCTTCGCATAGTGCACCTGCCCAGTTCACAACTTTGCCTGAAAGATGGAGCCTTCCGATGTTGTTATGTGCTCACACAGTCACTGCTCCGGGGCGCATAGACTTCGGATGCTGGGCTTTCGAGGAGTGCCATGCGCTGGCCTGGGTTGGAGACCCAGACCAAAGCAGCAACCATCTGGCACCGCAGGAGTGGCTCAACGTCCGAGCCTTCGAGAAATGCCGTACCTTGCGGACAATTGGCCTGGAAAGGGCTGAATATGACCCACTTTTTTTTTGCACGGGTAGGGGCGTGTGACACGAGCGCTCCGTCCATGTAGCGCTTGCACCCAGTCAGCTATCAGGGGGGTGACAGGATCCAGCAGATTCCAACCAATCATGATGGCAGTACACATAACTGACTGGAAGCACACTCACATACCGACATATACAGGCTCGAACTGTGCGCGCTAAAAGGAGCGCATCCGTTTTCAATTACGAAAAGAACTTTTTTTGTGGTGGACAAGGTGGAAGGTCCTGACAAACCTGTTGGACTGAGAGAGTCTTGGGACGCAGCAGATTTCACAGACTACTCGTTGCAAAGAAATTGAAGACACATGCAAAACGCCGTAACTTTCAAACCAGCTGCAGTCTCAGTCTTTAGAGCCGAACCAAGCCAAACAACTGTTGAAAAGTCAGTTTGTGGTTTGTTGGTTCGTTGGGTGGTTTGTTTTTTTTGCTCAGCTTGGTGTTCAAGTGTCTAGAATTGTCGAGCTTTGCCTTTTTGGCGGATTCAAGCTGAAAGTGTTGCGAATGACTGGTTTTTGACGACCAATCCAAGCGCCTTAACAACTGGAGCTTTCAGAGGTGTGGAATGTGGCTGGAAGCGAAGCACACCAAACCAAGTCTTGTTTAGGCCTCAGAAACCCACCCACAAGAAGGCAAGCCAGAGACAAAGCGAGACAGATGGAGACAAGTTGGACACAGTGACCAACAAGAAGGAAGACAAGAAGGGAGACAAAAGGAAACATAAGGGAGACAAGGCAGTGACCAACAAGAAGGAAGACACAGCGAGACAAGAAAAAGATTGAGAACCGCTAACCGAAAACTGTTGAGGAAAAACAAACTGACGCGTTGCCTGTTTTGCCGCACACTTGAGCCAAACGTGCAACAGTTGCGACAAACTTGTACAAAACCCTTGGAATGTTTTTTCAGTCCCGTCTTGTCTTCAGACATTGCACTGAGAAGTTCCTTTCGACCGCTATACACGCAGAGTCTCCCTCAGGTTGTGTCCTCAGACACTGCTTGAGAAGAGAAGACTTCGATAGGTACTTCGTCTTGGGTCTTTTCAGTTTTGGTGCTAGTCTTGTTATTATGTCGTTAAATACTGCACCGGCACACTGATACGCTTACTGTAATAGGGGAGGATGAGATCAGCAGTATCTTTTTGGTGTTCAAGGCCATGTTCAAGAGAAAATCCTTTCTTTCTTCCACCAATGCCTGCAATTGGATAAGCCACACGAACATCATAGAAAATCCATGAGTTTTCAATGCCTGAAAAGGTTACTGCGAAAGCAAGCACTCTGCAAAGCACTTTACAAAGAACTATTCATTTCTATTAAGTGCCTATGCCAAAGAAAGACTTCGCGCATAAAGACTCACGAGATCTCTTAAACGGTTTGCAAAAGGCCTTTCATTGGGCGACGCAAAGCTACTACGTCAGTAAGTGGCGCCCTGTTGGGTTGGTTTGCTGGCAGAGTATTTTCTTGTCAAACTTCTGTGCTGTTGAGGCGTTCTCATTTTTGAATTTTGTCTCATAATACGCATTTCCTGTGCAAAGTTTTGAGCTCTCCACAGCGTACAGCGGATTTTTGACAAGGGTCAGCCTGTTGTCCATGAGGCGTAAGTCTTGCCAGGCTTGTGAAAGGCCACGCTTCACACCTCTGGTTTCCTCTGCCGTGTTTGTTGACACTATCGCTGCCACTTTCTAAGAAAGCATTTTTTGTAGATCAGCTTCGGTTTGCCAGCCTTTCTTGTTGCGGCGAGCTACTAAGTCAACAAGTGGCGCCCTGCCTGTGTTGCTTGCTGGCAGTTCGTTTTCTAGTCAAATATCTGTGCTGTTGAGGCGCACTACCAAGTTTTTAAAGCTCTGCGCCATGCCCAGGCCAGCCAACTGTTGACATGGCCCAGCCTGTTGTCCAGGAGTTGCTCGCCTTGCCAGGAAAGCATGATGGACATCGAATTTTTTCCATTCAGATTACATTGCTGGTCAGGTGGTCTGACATTGAAGTTTCCCGATTGATATGTCTTCCATAAAACTTGGAGCTCACAGCGGCAGGTATCCATCAATTGTTGGCAGAGTATTTTCTTGTCAAACTTCTGTGCAGTTGAGGCGTTCTCATTTGGAATTTTACCCATTTCCTGTGCAAAGCTTGGAGCTCTCCACAGCGCACAGCGATTTTTTGACAAGGGTCAGCTTGTTGTCCATGAGGTGTAATTCGAGCCAGGCTTACATGCTTTCGTGGCGGGAATGGTGCATAAGCACTCCGCCAGGAAGCTGCGTCAGGTGAAATGTGCAAACATTGAGTGGAGTCGCCAACTTGTTTTCGACATTTACGATGCAGTGAGCCAACAGGAATGAGAGCCTTGGCTCCTCGTTCCCAACAGGCGGGTGGTTGAGAGTGGCAATGGAGGATGCCCAGGGGGAACCTTAGTTCCCTCTTGATGTCCGACATTACCAATTTTGTGCAAAGAGGCACATATTATACCATGCTAGGATAGTGCGATTTGCCCGCTGCGCGCGCAACTCTCTGCCGAGATCGTGCGTGTCGAGTGCGCGAAATGCAGGCGAGAGTGCGATTGGCCGGCTGCGCGCGCAACCCTCTGCGGAGATCGTGCGTGTCGAGCGCGCGAAATGCAAGCGAGAGTGCGATTTGCAGGCTGCGCGCGCAACCCTCTGCGGAGATCGCGTGCGCGAAATGCAGGCGAGAGTGCGATGTGCCTGGAGCCCGCGCAACCCTCTGCGGAGATCCTGCGTGTCGAGTGCGCGAAATGCAGGCGAGAGTGGGATTTGCCGGCTGTGCGCGCAACCCTCTGCGGAAAGCGTGTCGAGTGCGCGAAATGCAGGCGAGAGTGCGATCTGCCGGCTGTGCGCGCAACCCTCTGGGGAGATCGTGCGTGTCGAGTGCGCGACATGCAGGCGAGAGCGATTTGCTGGCTG